TAAACCCTAAACACTAAACACATCGCCATCTGCTGCCGGTCTGAAACACAAACCCTAAACCCTAAACCCTTAACCCTAAACACTAAACCCTTAACACATCGCCATCTGCTGGCGGTCTGAAACACAAACCCCAAACCCTAAACCCTATAAATAAATATAAACATACATGTATATATATTTATACATATTTATATATACTTATATACATTTATATATATTTATATATATTTATATATATTTATATAGATTACCTTTATCATCTATTCCGCCTATAAGAGTAGAGATATGTTGTTTAATACCTCTCAATATTTCATGTGTTTGTGGGGAGAATAAAATATTTACATTTATTTTTTTTTTTATAGCTGCGCCGAGAGCTTTATCAGCAACAATAAGTTTTGTTGCTGCTGCTGCTGCTGCTGCTGCTGTGTCTGCTGCTGCTCCTGCTGCTGCTGCTGCTGCAGTGTCTGCATGCAGCAGCAGATTTTTTTTTAAAAATTTATATAAACCTTTACCCAGTTTTGATTCCGATAAAGCTAACATTTCTTCTGTTGCTTGTTTATTATCTTTAAACCGAGAAAATGCATGCAAATTTATATTTTTGCATGCAGCCCCAGAAGATATAAAATATTTATTTATTTCTTCTATATCTTCTATCTCAACTATACTATCATCTTTTATATTAAATAGAGCGAAGCCCGCTGCTGTCTCCAATAGAGCCAACATTTTCTCTTTTTATTTATTTTATTTTATTTTATTTTATTTTGTTTTGTTTTATTTTATCTTGTTTTATTTTGTTTTGTTTTGTTTTATTTTATTTTTTGTTTTGTTTTGCTTTTTTTATTTTGTGTTTATTTTGGTTGGTTTTGTTTTGTTTTGTTTTGTTGGTTGTTTGTTTATCTTTCTTTTTGTATTTCTTTCTCTGTCTCTTCTCTTTATTTTTTTTTTTATTTTTTATTTCTGTTGTATATAATATATATAATAAAGCGATTGGTGGTGAGGGGGGGAGATAAAGAAAAAAAGAAGAAATACACACAAAGTATAAAAACAATTAAAATATAATATAATATTATATATCAACAAAAAGCTGCATGTACACCGCAAACAAATCCCGATGCACGCCGTCCGAGCAGCAGCAGCAGCAGCAGCAGCAGCAGCTGCTGCAGCAGCTGCTGCAGCAAAACCAAGCAGAGGAGGGCTGAGCAGCAGCAACAAAAGATATTTTTCCTAATTAAAAAATAAATTTTAAAATAAAAGCAAAAAAACAAAAAAAAGAAACACAGAAAGGGAGATCTGAGAGAGGCTGCAGCGTGGGGCAGCAGCTGCGCCCAGCGGCAGCAGCAGCAGCAGCAGCAGCAGCAGCAGCAGAAGAACACAAAAATATTACAATAATATATCTTTTATTTACTCTTTTATAATATTCATCAATTATAAACAACTTAAACAAACGAAAACACACAGAAGCACCTACAGCAGCCCAGCCCCCCAGTTGACTGTGGGGGCAGCCGCTGCTGCTGCTGCTGCTGCTGCAGCAGCAGCAGCAGCAGCAGCAGCAGGGGCCCCCTCTCGCCTACAGACTGCTTCCTTCTGCATCCCAGCAACACATACAGCAGCACAATAATTATTTTAAATTAAATAAAAAATAAAATAAAAAATAACAACAAAAAGAGAAGAAACAGCGACACAGCTAGCGGCTTACAGTCTGCAGCAGCAACACCCAAGCGAGACCGGGGGCCCCCCGGGGGGGCCCCCAGGGGGGCCCCCTCCTCAGTACCCTCCTGCATATGTGCATAGAGTCACCGATCTGCTGCAGATTGATGAAATTAAACATTTTTTTAAAAAGATATATAACAGGCAGCAACAGCAGCAGCTGCAGCAGCTGCAGCAGCAGCAGCGGCGGCGTGAGACGCCGCGCATCCGCCGCTGCCGCAGCAGCAACAGCAGCAACAGCAGCAGCAACAGCAGCAGCAGCAGCAGCAGCTGGATTGTGTGTATTGTATGTACATGTGCGCGTGTGTATGTACAAGCTGCATCCCCCTTTATACTATCTGGGATCGTCTCCTCTGGGATCGTCTCTGGGATCGAGTTGTGATGGCTCTGCAGCCGGCTCTGAGACTCCTCCTGGGATCGTCTCTGCTGGGATCGTCTCTGCTGGGATCGAGTCTCCTGGGATCGAGTGTGGGGTCGTCTCTGGGATCGTCTCTGCTGGGATCGTGTCTGCTGGGATCGTCTCTGCTGGGATCTTTGTCTCTGGGATATTTGTCTCTGGGATCGTCTCTGCTGGGATCGTCTCTGGGATCGAGTCTCCTGGGATCGTGTCCGCTGGGATCGTCTCTGCTGGGATCGTCTCTGCTGGGATCTTTGTGTCTGGGATCGTGTCTGGGATCGAGTGTGGGGTCGTCTCTGGGATCTTTGTATCTGGGATCTTAGTATATGGGATCGTCTCTGGGATCGAGTGTGGGGTCGTCTCTGGGATTGTGTCTGGGATCGAGTGTGGGGTCGTCTCCCGTGTGTAATATATAAGATGGCCGTGGCT